GCTGTTGCTGAAATACAAACCCAAGTCCTGACTGCAGCGAGGAAAGCCAGCACCAGGGGAAAAAGTGAGGGTTTGAGAGCAGCTGGGCAGTTACATGGAGGTCAGTGCCAGGGGAAGGAAGCTGGAAAGGGAGGACAGAACCAGTGCTGGTGGTGGAGGCCATGCACGGCTGGGGCTCTGTGCAAGGGTGGGCAGCAGCTGCATGTTAAAATGCAGAGACAACTGTGTCCCTTGCAGCCCACTCCAGCTGTGGAGTATGGAATAATGGTAACTGCCCTGTGCCACAGTACAGCAAGTGAGCAGCCTGCCAAAAGGAGTCATTGCTAAACTTGTAGTGAAATAAGGGCATGTAGATCGTTGCAGTCTCACATCAATGTGAAGTGGTGCAGCTTTGTATTTGGTGACACCAGATGTGTTTGAGGCACAAATAAGATTCTTCCGTACAGAACACTAGTATTTTAAACTTCCCTCAAGCCCCTGGCTGTGAAATCCCACTGTGTGTAGGTGCTATAGTTCAGTGTCTAAGCCTGGATGTTACCAGAACAAGTGCTCTTGCCCAAGACAAACAGAGGACTGGTATTTAGCATGTAGGAAGCATATGGCTGGTGTAGCTGTGGATGCTTGATTTCCCTATGTTAATAGTAAAGCAGGAGCTACTGAAGGCAGCATGAGAAGCAGCTGCAGCAATGGGGTAGTGCTTCTGCTGGTAAGCTGAAGGTGTCCAGAATACTCTGAAATGGGATATCAAGCCTACTGCATGCACCTTACCTGTTCTTGCTCAAGTATTTGAAATACCACTGGTTTCCTGAAATGTAATCTGACAAATGCGAGTATCTGATCAGACACTATGCAGAGTTGTCTGTGAACGTTTATTAACATCAGATGGAAATCTGTACTCCAGAGAAGACAAGCACCAGGCTGTGAACATACCTACAGAGTCCAGGGAAACCACACAAGCTTTTTAGACTTCTCCTTTGCAACAGATGAGCTTCTGACATTCCTCTTAAGTTTCTCTGCTCCATGAGACCATCTCAAGTTTTAACACGTTGTTAATGATTTAACTGAATGATCCCAAATATTTAAAACAAGCCAAAAATCCTTCATTTCTAGTTAGTGCTGTTCTTGATCTGGATGGATTGTAAAAAGGCAAAATGACCTCCTGGTTTTGACTTGCAAAAGCAGGTATTTTTGATTTCTTATACTGCCACCTTTCACCAGTGGCTGCCACGCTAGCCATTCCCCCTCCAGAACCTGCACAAGTTACCCCTTATTAAGCAATAAGCTAGTTCAAACCATACACATAACTTGGTCATTCTTACAAGCACAGTCAAGGATATCACAGTAAAAAGGTCATAGTTTCTACAGAGACCTTTGGAAGCCTCAGCAAAACAGCAGCATTAAATAGGGTGAGAGGAGGAACACTGGAGTGTCAGGCGTGAGGGAGGAAGGATAGCGGTAATCTGTATAACCAGAGATGCATATTTTTCAGGTGAGCTCCAGAGCACAGCAGCATAGTCAGAGAAGAGGCACAAGGATGGAACCAGGAGAGCAGCATTCAGCCTGGCAGCAGCCTTTTCTCCTGCTTAATTCTTCCTTTGCTTCTGGGAAACTTCTGTTGGCGAGCTCATTCACACACCCAATAGGGCATCATACTGACAGAGTAAGGACCTGAATACTCTGCTGATATTGTCAGGGTTTTAAAACTAAAGACAACAAATAATACTGTAAGTAGAGGCAAATTTTATTTAGACTGTACAAACAGGGCACTGGGAAAAAGAAAAAACAAACCAAACAAAACAAAAAAAACCCAAACAAACCAACACCCCCCCCCCAAAAAAAAAACCAACAAACCAAACAGTGGCTTAATGTTGGGACCAGTTCTATGAAGTAAGTTGGGTAAGAAATTAAAAAGGCACTAATCTTAAGAAAAGACACTTCATATCTTCTAAGAATATAATTCATTTAATACTGTTAATCTTATAGCACAAAAAATAAAACACGCTATGATCCCCAAAATAAACTTTAAAAGCTTACACTTAATATTATTGCCTGAAGATCATGGTCTTTAATTTACATATTGTGTGTTAAAAGTTTACACAGTGAAGACTGTCTCAAATACAAGGCCACCTTTCCCACTTCAGTAATTGTATCCTTGTCCCAAACCACACTTTCATTTAACACAAGTAAACAGAAAATGGCAGCTATACAAGAATGCTTCCACTGGTCCCAAAGGCAGTCTTTTAGGCAGGTCTCACTTTCAAATGCAGGTATTGAGGAAAATGCTTGAAAACTTGACTAGAAAACAAAGGCAGCCCACTCGTTCCCAGGATGTTAATACAATGTAAAAAAATTACTTTACAGGCACATGAAATGGCACAAAGAATGCTGTTTTTCCCTTTACAAAAATAATGCTCAGGCTCTTCAGAGCCCCAGCCCAAACAGGATATTCCCTTTTGTTTATTCTTTCCCAATTTGTAAACAATCATGAATTAAATTAGCGCTTATCCAGTGATGGACACTGATTAAAACAGTTTTCATTAAACTTTCAGACTGGTCAGAGGCTTCAGTGACTATATACACATGTACACAACAGGAGGAAGTCAAACAGTAGGTCTTTTGTGAGAGTTAACTATTGTGGCACCAGGTAATTAAACCAGCTCCTAGTTCAAAAGCAAGAACAACTTTAATGGTGCATAGATTGAAGCCATCACTTGTAGGCTCTCATGCTTCATATTACGTATACCTTACACACCCAAGGAACACTTACACTCGTAATTATCACTCCAATTTAAGAGGCTTCATAAAGCAACAGACAGCACACGTGTAAGCAAGCAACGAGCGATTGAGAATTCAGAGTCTTTCAAAGAGAAACACACACTGATCAAATGCAGTCTTTATATGAAAATACTTGTCTTATAGTAAAATAGCAAAGACAGGTTTTGAAGCAAGGTTACAATCAGCTTAGGCTCATCCATATTTAAGCCACATTTAACACACCTGACCCACACTGCTGCTACTCAGAGAAACACTGTCCATTCCTGGCCTTAAAACCAGGGTCACAAGACATTTAAAAGAACTCTTGTCTTTGCAGATGCCACTACACACAAGTTTTGCATAGTTTTGAAGGTAAAATATTTTGCTTTTCTGCAGTATCAGAACATAATTAAACCTAAACCAATGCTTGTGTTCCAAGTGTGCACATTATTCAATGAGGGATGAGTTAGAATGTTTATTTCAGTGAAAAAAAATCCAGGTTAAAAGCTGTGTTCAAGATCTCAAGTCTCACAGTATTTATTTACCATGCAAAGGAAGAATTCTACAATCAGTCTTCTGAAGAGCTGCCTGTAACTAGGTCAGGTCTGAAATAAGATTTCTCTGCAGCAGACTGAGTTTAGTGCAGTTTCTGTATTCAGATGACAACTTTCAGTAGTACAATCTATGTAATAAACTTATGGGTATAGCTGGGGCACAGGAAAAGCATGACCTTCTTTAGTTAAGAGAGCTGCATAGCTTTTCTTTGCAAGACAAAATGTCAATGCCTATTGTCAAGAATTACTCTTATAGCACCAAACACTTCAGTCAATGCTACTCTACTTCACAGTTAATTTGGTAGTAAGATGCTCTACAAGAACTTCTACACTGTCAGCCACTTGATCAATACTACAGCAAACAGCTAATAAATGAACAGTGACCTCTTTAAAACCCCGACATTCCAAATGTCTTGTTGCAAATGCCATGTTTGCATTTCTTCAGTGCCTTCCAATTAAGGATCTCATGGCACTTTCACATGACATAAGAACAGCGTGCTTTTATTAGGATCAAGCGACACAAATCAACAAGAAAACATGCTGGAACTTAAGACAACAACTCTTATATAATTTGACATTTATAAGAACTGGGGGGATTCTGTGGGTGTCTGAAGTTTCTCATTTTGCTACAATTGACAGCCTTCAGGAGTTGAAAAATGGGGGCTGCTGTTTTCCTGTCAGCTGCTCCAACAGCCATTTTTCCTTAACCAGGCTGTCTGAAAGGCAGGTTCTGTAGTTGCAGTCTTTGCAGATGTGTATTGTTAATTCAGTGTTCCATTATGTTTAAAAGATCATTCCAGTTCATCTACAAAACACGGTTAAAGGTGGCAGCACAGGGTACCACTGTACCTAAGCTTTCTTATCCTGTACACAGGCTAAGGACTTAACCTGCATGGCATGAATTGTACTTATTTAGCTGTAGCCACATAGTTCCCTACTGTAAGTACAATTACAGCAGTACAGCTTATGTACAGAAAATGAGAAAGAAGCTATACTGATAACAGACACCTTTGTGGCCTCCTCCAGCCTGAGCTTTATCACATGGGGAACCCAGGCAGCTGACTCCCATTAACCATTTTCTAGAGGATGCTGGGAGGGGTAGGGATGTGGGGCATATATAAATCAGAGCCAACTCACTTAGAAAGGTAAAAAAAGATGACAGCATGCAGAGGATCTGGGATACAAGCAAAGGAAAAAGAGGGAAGGGAAAAAGAAGATGGAAGCAGCTCTGGAAAAGCAGCACAGCAACATGGAGACACCCTAGGAGAAAAGGTATTGTGTTTGAAAAGGAGCTTTCCATAAGCTGGGGCTGGCATAGCTAGGAAACTTTGGAGACAGAAGGGAGCCTGCAGAGAAATGGGTATAAAAGGTGTATGTTTAAATAAGAAGATTTTATCAGTATTTAGCAAGTTCTCCTGCGTCACTCCTTTCTTACCTCTCCACACCATGGCAATCTGATCAGTCTATCTACCAAGTACAGCTTAGTGATAAGCACGTCTAGTAAGACTGCACTTTCAACACTGCAGAAGAGCTGTATGTAGACCAGGCCAAAGTGTTTCCCTTTAAAGCTCACCTTCTACAGTTAGTGCTTGCAAAAATCAACAGAAATGCATTAAGTATGTCAAAACCAGGTTACAAGTATCAACCCCTCGTAAGTTTCCTTATAAATAAATGCCTCAGCTTCAATGCAGCTCAATCAATGGTTATTTGCATTTAACACACACTGTTTCAGGAAGGTCAACAACAAGCTTAAGAGTTAACAGAAAAGAGCAGCTTCTAATACAACTGCTTAGAATACATAAGCTTCAATTATTGTCCTTTAAAGAGACCATCATTTAAAATGTACTACCTTAGGACAGGTTCTCTTACAACTAAGTCTTCTTCAGTCCTAAAATTGCATTTTCATTGTTGCTTTTTGTTGGACAGTAACACACAAGTTGTATGTTTGATCTAAGGTTAGGGCTCTTCCTAATAAGCAATCCAGAAAAAGTCTATGGAAGTCTTAGCAGGAAAAGTTTCCTTCCCATTCTTCTCTGCTATATACTAGTTCAGTCTTGCCCAGCTTAAGGCCCAACAGAGTTTTAAAAGTTAAATTAAATTCTGGATGACACAACTATGGTATGAAGGTCAGCAGTGACTTCAGTTGTATGGATTCCAAATGTATATTAAAAGAACCGTCAGACTGCAGCAAGCTGGAAAACGGGCAATGCTAGCAATGTGCCATTAAGTCATCATCCCACCTCAAACAATGCTAATGATAGCCAGGAAATGAAGCAGCAGTGTAAATGGGGCAGAGGGACTCATTCGTTCTCCTCGGGGTTTTGAGGGTCAAATATTTTGACATGCGTGAATGGGAAGAGCCCTTTTCGACCATTGACTTCTCCTTCCCACTGACCATTTATGTTCATCCGTGTAACCTTCACAATGTCTCCAACCTGCAAAATTGAAAAAAAGCAGTTATCACCCATGGGAATCTCACCTCTGATACAAATCAAATGAAGAGGGAAAAAACAAATACAAGCCCATCATAGGGGGAAAAAAACCCCTACTCTCTTCTTGGCATAAGGTTCAATTGAAAAGTTACTTTTCCTTCACTAAAATACCAACATTTTGCTGCTAGACATCATAGTGTACGTGTTCTTTCAGACTCTAAATGTGTATTTACATATTCAGACAAATTACTGAACTATACCTTTTCCTATAGGAAAGCTTCAACTTCATGAAACAATGTATTTAGCTTAGATATAAATTAACATCACTAAAGCTACTGTCAGTAATGAGATGCAACATCCATTCAAAAGAGCACAGCACTCATACTGGGTTTAGCATCAGCTGGCTTGTTTCAAAGGAAAATTAGTTTTTCAAAGGGAGATTCCTATGGCAAAGAAACCATTAATGGAAGCTCTAGTTCTGGTTATCACAATCTAAGAAGCTTCTGTAATTTCTAAAATAATGGTACAATTCTGAAGCAGGCATCTCAAAACTTTTTTTCCCCCTCTTAAGTATTAAAGGTACAGATTCTAACTTTATTTATTGTTTTCACCTCTACTTCTTGCCAAATAAGTTGAAACACGTCAGGCCTTTCCTGTCATAACTACGTCTCTTCTTATTTGGCAGTGAAAGATGACAAAAGCTAAACTATGATCAAGCAGGAAATATCAGCCCCAATGATAATAATTTAGACTCTTACCATTGTTCAGTGCCTGCATTTAATTTTATTAGGATAATTTACAAAGGAAAACATCCAACTTGACAAGTAGCATTTAAGACCAGCTAAATACTCATTTCTCCCTCAGATGTTTCAGAATAGCTGAACATGTATGTGGTCTGTTGCAACAGCTCTCTAACTTTATACCTCCCTTCCTGTTTACTTAGTTTTATTCTATGTGGTAACTATAGTAAATATTAGAAAAGTAACATTAGCCACTGAGAACCAATTTCACAAAATGTAGAACCAGCCTATGACCAAGAGACCAAGCTCTTTGTAGTTGAGTCTCGGCTTCAAGGCTACTTCTCTAAAATCCAAAAGTAACTAGCTCTGATCTTATAATTTAAAAAAAGCTTGATTTTAGTCCTCATACAGTACGTATAACCATTTGTCTACATTATCTAACTAGTATTAAAATTTAGAACTGATGCAAATAGTTTAAGGACCTTGGCCAAGGGCCTTAGATTAAAACTCTTCAGGTTAGACCTCAGTATTTTTTTGTTAAAAACACCCTGAGTTTAAAAAAGTGTGCACATCACTAGGTGGTCTGAAGCCTGTTTAAACCAGTTATCATTACTTCAATAGACATTTTTGAAGATCACTCGGAAACAAGAATCCTTAAGTGAAGTTTAAGATACTATATTAAATTCCTTGGCAGTCACTCAGTGTTACATCTCAAAATAAAACTTCTCAAACTTTGAAACACTTCAGAGTCTTAAATTAGACATTTAGGCAAAATGTGTTGCTCTGCACCCCCGCTTAGTTTTTCTCCACTACTTGGGTTGTCAGTGTCCCACCTGCTCCCCCAGCTTCAAGCCTGTCACACTTGGAACAATTGTAATCTCGTGCTTTTAAGAGAGGAGAAAACCCTCTGAACTCCCTTAATTTCTTGGGATATAACTGAGACTATATTACTTTCTTAAGTGGACATCTTTACTAATGCTGTTCCTAAACGTAAAGCTGTGGCCAGAATATACTATTAAGTAATAACACACTGCCCATGATACTTAGCACATACCTAGAGCATTAATTTGACTGGTTTTCATCTCTTCACAGACTATTGCAGCATGCTTTAATTGTGTATTTGCTAAAAAAGCACAATTTGTTAGACTTTTCACTGAATAGAAAGGTTAGAGAAAGCTTTAAATAGTATCAAGATGACCTAAACAGGAACCTAACAAATGTCTCTTTAAGAAAAGGCAGGTAACATCTATAAATACTCAGTGTTACATTGCTAGATTTAAATAACCCCTGAAGACAAATTTAAGTTCCCAGTTTTAAACCCAAATTCAAGAAGATGCAGCCAACATCACCACAATTAAAACCTATTAAGAAACTGCATTTGCATCACACCATAAAGCCAATCCACCCTCAAACATGGAAGAAACAGAAAACCCTAAAATGTTGTACTACACTGGATTGAAAACAGGGACCTGTGTTTTCTGAGAATCTGACAATTTAGTTGTGCTCTACAGATCAATCCGTTAATAACTGAGGGTCTAGAAAAAGATATCCTTCAGTTTGACTCCGATTGATTCCTGTAACATGAATAGGTTTGGAAGGCTTGCTGTAAGCCCAGTAAAAAAAAAATACTTACAATTTAAGTCTATTGCATTGCAACAAACTGCCATGTAGATTAACAATGTAAATGTTCTTTGGACTGCTGGGTGGGCAAAGCTGCTGCAAATCAGAATGTGCCGCTAAAGAGCGGTAGCTGACAAAAAGCTATGCAAAGGATATTTCCATATGCCAAGAACTGTTGGAATAGTAAACTTATTTACAGTTACTATTATTTTTGAGGGGTGTGGGTGGGGGTTTTATGAAAGCTTCTGAATATCCTCTTGTGCTATATTATTGGGAAAAAAAAAAAGGCAGTTCCACATAGAAGATGAAATGAAACAGCATATTGAAACAAGATTTTTGGAAAAGGAACCTTGATGTCATAAAATAATTCATGGATCTTATGTTAAAAATCTGCATTCCAGTATCTGAAGGGTCCTATAAGGATGCTGGGGAGGAACTCTTCATTAAAGACTGTAGTGGTACAGGGTACCAACAAGGGGTAATGGGTTCAAACTTAAACAGGGGAAGTTTAGGTTAGATACAAGGAAGAAGTTCTTTATTGTGAGGGTGGTGAGGCACTGGAATGGGTTGCTCAAGGAAGTTGTGAATGCTCCATCCCTGGCAGTGTTCAAGGCCAGGTTGGATGGAGTCCTGGGTGACATGGTTTAGTGTGAAGTGTCCCTGCCCATGGCAGGCGGGTTGGGACTAGATAATCTTAAGGTGCTTTCCAACCCTAACTATTCTATGATTTTGACAATGTCTACAAGAATCTGGTCAAATAGTCCCTTTAGGTAACTTCTTCCTGAAGTATTAATAAAAGCAATATTTGGTAGATGCTTTTTAAAGCATCTATAATGTGGTCAGCTGAAGCGTGATCTCCCACTACAATTATTTAATACACTATTTGTAATTTTTTTTCAGAGAATGTTTTAAGCCAGTCAGAAGGATTGTCTTATGATCAGGCACAGGACAGAGTCAGGAGACCTGGTTCTATTCTCATCTCTGCCACAAGCTTCGTGTATGACTCTGGACAGCTCATGGCCCTTATCTATAAATTAGGATAATGCTTCCTGAAGTCTCAGCATCTCTCAGATAAGTTAATTCACTTGCAAAGCATGCCAGCATGGCTGGATGAAAGCATCAACTGCTGAAAGGAGTAATACTTCTGAAATGCAGCCATTTGGTTCCACCCGAATGATAAAAATCAAAACGTATTTTAGATAGCATCCTTTCATTATGTCCCTGTTATAGCATGAATTCAAAGCCTGGGGGAAACACAAGCTATGGAACATGCCAGTGAGAAAGGTTACTTCATTCACTCTAGACTCTCCCTTACCTGTCTTCTATTTGAAGCAGATTCATACACTGCTATAAAGGTTTCCTGCATGCCGTTTTAGTCACACAGTCAACCAATTCAATGTGTTTTACACACCGATATTCCAACAATTGTATGCTAATAGTTCTATGGCTGATAGAGTTCTGTAGTGTAAGTTTAAAGAGATAATAATGCAGTTAAACTCTAAATCATCATTTTAGCCCACTGGGTCAATAGTTATAGAAAACACTGCTCTCTGGAATTTATGTGGTATTCAGTCTCAGTCATTATCCTGATTAGCATCACAACTCACTTCTTTGGAAACACTAGTGTTAGTACTAAAACAATCGTTCAGACCAGCTGCTGTTCTGGAAAAGCATAAACAAGGGTCAACACTAAGAAATTTGTATCCCCAAAAGATACAAAGCTGAGCTATGTAAGAGAGGCAGAGTTCAGATGTGCAGCAAACAGGACAAAGTGACACTGAAGTAGTTCATACTTTATGTATTAGAAGATTCAAGAAACCAGCAGGCTGAAAGCACAGCTTAATTATCCTTCACTTCACACATTGTGTACTAGAAAAATAGTTGATGCCCAAATTAGAAAATTGAGTAGTTCAGAGGAAAGACCATCAACCATTCTTAAGATATGAAAGCAGGTCCAAGGCTAGCATAGACATGTTGAAGTCCTAGATGCAATTAATCTAGTCTCATCTAGGAACTGAGTAAAAATTTCACATATAGCTAGAATAATTGCCAGAATAACCACCAAAGTGCTGTAAATGATGGTAGCCTGTCTCCATCTGATTAAGCAGCTGTCATTGTGCATGATTTGGAGAGCTCAAAACTCCACAGACCATCATTCTTGAGCCACACTGAATCTCACTGTAGCACAGGATCTTGTCTATGTTAGCCATATCACTTTCAGTTTCATCCAAAAACAACCTGCAAACAGTTCTGAGGGTGAACGTATCTTAAATTGAGGCACTCAGCACTATCATGACAGGAACTATCAATAACTTGACTGGAAAAGGAATTTACAAAGATTAAGAGTGCACACAAATTTTTCAAAGTAATTGTTAGTTCTGTTTTCAAATGTAGCATGCTGAAAAGTTGGTTCATGTCAGCACAGACACAGGAATCCTGCTGCCAGTGTCACTTTCAATTCAATAGTTAGCAGAGCTAAAGCTCCCCAATAAACATCACACTACACAAGTATAGGCTTGATATTTTGTTTAAATCCTAGACCTTGTGGGTTAGATGCATTTTACTGTTTAACAGCAATACTGTTTCCTTGGCTTAAGGAAAGCACAATGCTTGTTGCCTAGGGAATGTAGCCTAATTTCCTCATTAAGAAAGTTCTACTACTAGCACACTTTGGCCTACTTGTCTCAAGTTTCCTTTGAAGAGAAAACAAAGTTAACTGTAACCTAATTGTAACATGTGCAACAGAAGTACTGTAAGTCAGTTATATAATTATGGTGAATTGATATGTATTTTGCCAAAACATTTCAGTGACAGGTTAACTGTACTAGCAAACATAAATGCGTACGTTTAATAGATCATGAACAGATAAACTATTTAACACCATAAAGCTGGCACGAGTCTAGAAAAAGCAATCATTAGTATAAAACCTTGCTATAAAAATATAATGAAGCTCTTGGTGTTTTGGGTTTGGTTTTTTAATCTTTTAATTCCATAACGCTTATGTTAAGTCTGGAGATGAACTCTAGGACTACTACTGCCTTCAAAATGGTCTATGACACTTATCACAGTGTTTGCAATATATTTTAAGAACCATTTTTTAAACACATGGCAGACAGAAATCTGGTGGCTGCTACTGGTCACCCATTTTTCTGGCTCGTTACACCATTTCATAAGTGAATTTGGAATTTGTTATGCACATCCTGAATCAACCTTCAAACAGTTCACTAATTTTTAAGGGCATTATCCACCATTAGTTTACCTACTTACTGTGGCTGGACAAAGAACATTGCTGTGTAGAAGTTAGTCATCAATCAACTACTTTGGATTCAAACACAAGTACTCAACTGCCAAGAGATAGCTCCTTTCCTTTAATGTAAAAACATCCTAGGCCTTAGTCCACTAGGTACCGCATACACATCTTGTGCTGGTTAGAGCATCCAGCTGAAAGCAAGGCTTCATTAGCATATTGTTGTTACCAGACTGGCTGTAGAACTACAGGTTATAAAATGCTGAGAAACTTCAAGGTAGACTTGACTGCTCTGTATCATAGTGACAGTGCCAAAGAATCTCAGCTTTGAACACAGGATTGCCCTCCTAGTTTTCCCAAAGAAAAGCAGGATTGAGTAACACTAGTACATAATCCTGTCATGTAGCCTTCTACTCCCAATAAATACAGGATGCTGTATCCCTGTACTACATATTCCTTCCTCTAGAGCACCAGAAAGGAAGGAAACTGCTTCTTGACTAAAAGTGCACAAGTAAAGAAACAGATATGGATTGCTGGCTTGGGGTTTAGTTTTTGGGGATTTTTGTCTGTTTGTTCTTTGGGGTTTTTCTGTTGTTTTGGTTTGGGTTGTTTTGGGGTTCTCTTGTGGTTTAGTTGTTCAGGGTTTTGTTTGCTTTTTTTTTAATGCAGTATCCATGAAAATTCTACACACATAGTAGTAAGAAACGGCGGACTTCAATCATTTCATTAAAAACATTACATCTGAACTGCCAAGGTAACTAATTCAACTGCCAACAGTATATGTAAATCTTAGTAATACATATAATTTATCATAGGCTTACTTGTTCACTGGTTCAGGGAGATGCTCAAAGTTGTATATGTGCCAAATGCATGCTTTGAGGTATCAGCTATACTTAAAACTTTTAGCATATTAACAGAATGCTATTTTTAATTTTAGAGAATAAAAGTAGAGCAGTAGGACCAAGTTAACATTCACTTCAGTAATACCAGTATGAATGCTAAATAATTTGAGCCCAGCAAGATCAAAACTGTAGTAAGTGCTGTATTAACTACCATCCTTATAGGAACAATACTGTAGTTCAATGTCACATTTTAAGTATCCATCATTGTCTAACCAGACTGACTTTGTTTTCAGATTTTCAGTGGGATATTCACTTATTTTACAAGTTACATTTTTCATGTGGGAAACTTTAAAAAAAAATAATTATGCCTTCCTTATAAAACAAACTTCTATGTAAGAGGCTATGAATCTTTACCTTTTCTTAAAGAAAGCTTCTGACAGCTTATGCAAACAATAGCATGCAACAGAAAACAGGACTTGGAAGCAGAGAGCTTGTCCCATTTTCAAGCTGAACCCAAGAGGATGACATCCCTCCACTTAAAAGGAAGTCAAACAGATTACTATGCAATAGCTTTATTTACTCCAGATGGTATTCTCTTCCTTTTAAGTACTGTCTGTGTGCTGACCACACAAAGCTAGAGCCAGCAAAAAGACATTCTGTTCTTATTGTTTTATCAGTTTAAATAAGAATACACAATTGGGCACTCTATAATTATACTAACAAGGTGTTCTACCTATACAAGCTGAACTGCGATTTAGAATACAACTATACTAAGGCAGAGTACTGTCAAATACTGTCATTCTGAAAGAACACCATTAAATTTCTTCCACAAAACATTCCCATAACCTGTTGTTTCTCTACCACTAGCTACTTTCAGTGATCTTACAAAACAGAAGATTCAAATGGTCCAGATTATTTAGTGACACAGAGTCCTGACAAGGTTGGGATTAAATATATCACCAGGGCCTAGCAGGTTTCAGGTAATCTGAAGGAAGATCAGGAAAAAAAGTGGGATTTTTTTTTTTTCCTCTAAGAGTACTCCACGTGACAAGAAATATTGCTCTGAGGCTGTTTAAGTTCACTATGCATGGATAGATATGAAGAAGCTGTAATCAGTGATTTTAATAAAAATGTAGATCAGTTCCCAGAATTCTGCTTGAGAAGCCACAGTGTGGCTAAGGTGCACTTGCAAAGGAAACAGACTACATAGGAAGACAAAATATGCCAGTAATGGGAGACAAAGACATGAGGCAATAACTGACTAGAATTCAGTGAAAGAGAAGCATCTCTCAAACAGCAATTTGAAGGCTCAGAATAATTCAAACCTTGACACGGGTCAGAAAATTAATCCTGCTGGTATGCTAGAGTAGCTAAAATGATGGGATTTATAGAGAAATCTATTTGTGAAGGCCATACTTCCAGGTGGTTCTGCTACCCTGCAACCAAGTTCCCTGAAGTAATTCCATGACACGCTGGTAACATTACAAAATCAGTTGCTTGCCTTGCTTTCTTTACAGAAGCGTAAGTTTTGTCAGGAATCTTCTGAGAGTGAATTTACACTTCGCTCTATGATAATTTTCACACACTGTTTGCAAATAACAGGCTGCTAGTTTTCATAAGGCTTTAGGAAAACCCAGTGATACATATTTAACTTTTAACCCAGTAAGAGTAATTGTCTGTAGAGGCTTTACAAATATAAAAGGAAAGCACTCAGTGCAAGTATTATGAATAACTGGAAGTCACAAATACAACCTTTCAAATTTCAGCCAACAGTATCAGCTTTAGGTAACAAACAACTTTAACTTGCAAAGTAATTGAGCAAAAGCTACAGGAAAAATTCAGAAGTATTCTTAAAACTACTATTATTTACTGCTAAAATGCTGTTGCTTCCTTCGCTTGTTTCCTTGGATTTGCTCCTTGAAGCATTGTAGCATGCTCAAATTTCATCTTTTGAGACTAGTGCTTCTTCCAGGTTCATTTGTGAACTATGGGTTAATGAGCCTTCAGTATAATCTAAACGTAGAAGTAACAGTCTCAGTTTTCTGGATATAGCTTTAAAAACTTCTTCCAATCCATCATTTATACAAGTTAAACTAGAATTGTAACATGAATTCTTTACCATTTGAAGAATAAAGCTCTAAAGTCCTAAAAGACATCCCTAAATTAAAAATAAACACATAAATAGAATGCTTTGGCAAGCACAGGAACTTATTAAAGGTTCAACATGGGTTTAGAGGCTATGCTGCAGCCTTTCATCCAACCTCCTCACCCCCAGTTTAGGTCTTAAGGTTTCTCAAATTCCACTACTGACACTGAAGTAAAAGAGACTAGATTACTTGATACATTTCTGCCCAGATTTCAGCTCTCAGCTCTGAGTATCTCTCAAGTTCATCTCACTTTACAGCTGAGGATCTAAAATGATTACATTTATCCGCAATTCTTATTTTTCTCTGAAGGATGCTACTGCCAGTTCTCGACCTAAAATATTGCAATGATTAAGGAAACACCTCGTTCAGTCCCCAAGATCAGGTGGAGAAGCAAAGTCATCCTCTCACTAGCATTTACTTTCACAGCAGGATGTACACTACCTAATAGCAGTCAGGATTATATCACTCTGCTACTCTTGTAACATATATGCACTGTTAAAGAGAGGGTAAATACAGGTCCTGAAGTAACCTGCGCACTTTTCTTAAAGGAAGTGGTAAAGATGAAGCAATTCTTGTGGGTCTTTCTTCAGAATGTAATCTAACTTCTCAGTCTCTTTACATAGATAAGCAGACTCCGTATGAAGTCATCCACACCAACTTTGCTACTAAGAATTTTTAGTTTCTTATTTTACAGAATAATTGAAAACCATAAGACTTGAGAGGAAAAACTTACCTCTAATGCCAGTGCAGTCTTGTCATAAGCACATGGTACTCTCTTTTGGATAGCTTTGGCATAGACTGGTCCATTCTGTGTTAATGGCAGGGGATTGATCACTGCTCCAGGTGTACTGGGTACTGAAGGAAGGGGACTTGCGGTCTGAGGCTGAGCATAAGCATGGGCAGGTTCTGGAATACCATAACTGTTGGAATTCCTGTTTCCGTGCTTTGCATGAGAAGATCTGACTAGCTTTTCTACATAAGGAACAGGAATCATCCCAATCCGACCATCCTTGTTTCTGGCGCTCCACCACTGTTCTTCTGGCTTCTCTACAATTACCAGTATCTCACCCTTTTTAAATGGAAGATCCTCAGCATCATTGCCAGGAAAGTCATAGAGAGTCCGAACATACTCCACATTTTCTTCTGCAGTGGACATAGCAGGGGCAGATCCAGATCCCATTGGTGGACTTGGATACCTAAGTTTAAAAAAGATTTGGTATAAGCAATAGCTGTTGTTTTTTATTTCCAGTAACAAAGCTAAGTACCAGTTTTGCAGAAGGAATGACAATTAGAGGAGATTACTTATTCAGCTTTGTAACAGAAGTATTGGCTTGGTAGCACTGTGAGGCATTTAATGAGTAACTCATGCTCTCAAGTAATTACTTAACTACCCAGAGAGCCAATAAAAATCTATCACGGCTGCAGAAAATTGGGAGAAATAATTGAAAATCTTTATCCTTCTGTTTTGTATTGTTGTGAGGATCTTGGGGCAAAATAGAATCTATAGCTTAAGTTGTAAGAGTCATGATGCATAAAACCAAGTTAAAATTATTTAGGTGACTTGGGGTGGAAGTGCTCTTAGAGAACTAAATAATCCTCTTCATCACATCTACATTTTTAACTTCAACATCTATTTCTAAAGAATTCAGTGACCCTAAATGCTGGACTTGAGGAAACACAGCAGGAAAGAAAACAAAAGTAAGAGGAGGGTGTGACTAAACACAATTTTTTAATTCAAATTTAGGAGTCCAATGCTGTCTTTCTATTTGATAGTACAGTGTTTTTCTAACTAAATCTTTCTACTTACATGCAGAATTTTGGGGACAGCTAGTGAAATTTATACCGAAAACTCCTTTCTTTAAGAAAGGAGATAGGCAGATCTGTGTTTTTAGGAGACACTTTCTCCTTCTTTCTGGAAAGTAATATGGAATTAAGCTCCCTAATCTTATTTTAACAACTTTAACTCTCAAAGAGTTGTTATAATGCAGCAGAAAAGTTATTAGTTTCAAAGTACTGATCTTTACTGCATATTTAAAGAGCTAATAACCTGAAAGTGATATCTTCATAAAAGAGAGTATGAAATACTTGCATCCACAGGTAAGAATGGAATAAGAAATGAAAAAGCTAATGATACAGAAATACTCTTTTGCCTTAACAACTGTAATATTGCCTTTAATTTACTCACATCATTGTTTATTACTTTGCCCAATGCAGTCACTTTGTGTCTGTGATAACGTATAAGATTGTTCATGGAGACTATTTTCAATGCAATTTTCATCACTGATTATATATATTTTATTCAAAACAGCTGTCAGAAATCTTAATGTATATAGGCTATTGTAGATACTTATTATTTAAGCTACAATAGCAAGGACACATTCCATTAGCCTGCTTCAATTCTCTTCTGCTATTTGCAAAGTAAGAAGGAAATCAAATCCCTGTGTGTTTTGCAAGATATGCCAGAAGCCCTAAACAAAAATACATGCTTCTTTCAAACACCCTGTAGCAGCCAAAGCCAGGAGAGGGAACCCTTTAGAGAGCAGTCACTCTGTAAGTAAGCTCAGGAACATCTGCAATGAGGGTCACAGCTTGCTATTGACACAAAACAAATAGAAAGCTTAAACCAGTCAGTTTTCAACTGTTTACAAGTTTAAAATGTTGTATCTGAGAGCTACACATGTTGTATGGCTACATACAACAGACTACTTAAACCTACCATGAAAACCACTCTTCATACTGTACTTCATGAAATTAAAAAGAATCAACAGCATTCAAAAGCACAAAGCACCTGAGCATGATGTTACCCTGAAAATGCCAGAGAAATAAGAATTAGCAGTAAGAGCTCTGAAGCACATGCCTGAACACCCCTATTCTAGATCTAGTCCACTAGCTCAAAAGAAATCAGGAAATGCTACCTCCGATCCTCTCTCTTACAACAGAAAGCCTCCTTCAAACAAAATTTCAAACCATCAACCACATCATTGATTTTTCTAAAAGAGTTTAGAACAAAAATCATGCTAAGGAAAACCACCTAGTCAATCGCATTTCTTGCTTTATAATAAAGCTCATCAGCTCACAGCAGATGAGGTCCCATCTCTGTATGATGAGAGAACAATATGCAATCAAAACCCTGAAAATAAGGTGGTACTAAAATGTTCACAAAACGCTTCACACCACACTCCTAGCAAATACCAAGTCAGCAAGTGGAATCAGCAAAGTTTAAGTGTTTTGAGAAAGCCAAGTCAGTCATTGCCATAAATGATTAAGAACAATTTTTTAGATCCAGAAAGGTACAACAGTATCCAGGTTAAGGAGAACCAAGATAAGCATAAAGATTGCTTCAGTGTAGACTCTTCCTCCCACCTATCCACAAGTTTAAGCTTGCACATAACACTGGGCAGCTCCATGTAAGCATTCCTG